TAATGCAAAAAGATAAGGTCATTGCATATGCCTCAAGGCAACTCAAAGTGCACGAGAGGAACTACACTACACATGATCTAGAATTGGGAGCCGTTGTATTTGCACTTAAGATTTGGAGACACTACCTATATGGTACCAAATGCACTGTGTTTACTGATCACAAAAGCCTTCAACACATCCTCAACCAGAAGATGTTAAATATGAGGCAGAGAAGATGGGTTGAACTGCTTAGTGATTACGACTGTGAAATCAAGTATCGTCCCGAAAAAGAAAATGTGGTGGCCGATGCTCTGAGTAGGAAGGAAAGAGTGAAACCAACAAGGGTGAGAGCGTTGGGAGCAATAGTAAGCACCAGTCTGAAGGCACAAATTCTCGAGGATCAAAAAGAGGCATTAAAGAAGGAGAATTTGAAGAATGAGGCCCTACACCACATAGAGACTAAGTTTCAACTGAAATCAGATGGAGTATATTACTTGGGAGACAAGGTTTGGATACCTAAGTTTGACAATCTTAAATCCATAATTTTGGACGAAGCCCATCGATCAAAATACTCAGTCCACCCGGGAGTGGATAAGATGTATAAGGATCTTAAGGACCATTATTGGTGGCCTGGAATGAAGAAAGACATTGCACTATATGTAAGCAAGTGTTTAACTTGTGCAATGGTCAAGGCTGAACACCAAAAACCATATGGTCTACTTCAACAACCTGAAATTCCCCAATGAAAGTGGGAACAAATATCAATGGATTTCATCACCAAGTTGCCAGAACTGGGAAAGGGCATGATACAATCTGGGTGATTATAGATCGACTGACGAAATCTGCTCATTTTCTACCAATCGGAGAAGATTATAAGATGGAGAAGCTGGCTTAAATTTATATAAATGAAATCGTTACTCGGCATGGGGTACCTATCTCCATTATCTTGGATATGGACAGTCGATTTACGTCAAGATTTTGGCAATCACTTCAAGGAGGGTTGGGTACACGTTTAGATTTAAGTACTTCATGCCACCCTTAAACGGATAGGCAGACGGAAAGAACAATCCAGACACTAGAAGACATGTTGCGCGCATGCGCCATAGATTTTGGTGGAAGCTGGGATATGCACCTTCCGTTAGTCGAATTTACATACAACAGCTACCATGCCAGTATTCAGTGTGCGCCTTATGAAGCATTATATGGACGCAAGTGCAGATCTCCACTTAGTTGGCTGGAGATTGGCGATCGGCAATTAACTAGACCTGATGTCATCCAGGAGACTACTGACAAGATAATAATTATCAAGGATCGACTCAAGGCTGCAAGAGATCGCTAGAAAAGTTATGCTAATAATAGGAGGAGACCATTAGAATTTCAAAAAGGAGATAAAGTACTCTTAAAGGTCTCACCATGGAAGGGAATAATGCGCTTTGGGAAAAGGGGAAAATTGGGTCCCCGATATATTGGTCCATTTGAAATAGATGAGAGAATTGGACCAGTGGCATATAAGTTAAAACTGACGCAAGAGCTAAGCGCTATTCATGATACATTTCATGTATCAAATCTCAAAAAGTGCTTAACCGATGAAACACTGGTCATACCGTTGGGAGATGTACAAATTAATGATCATCTGCGTTTCGTTGAAAAACCAATATAAATCATGGATAGACAAGTCAAGCAGTTGAGGCGTAGTAAAATCCCAATTGTAAAAGTTCATTGGACTTCGAAGCATGGACCAGAATATACGTGGGAAAGGGAGGATTTGATGAAAAGCAAGTATCCCCACTTGTTCCCAATCGAGTACAAAGTTAAAAACTGACAAACGAAATTTCGGGACGAAATTTTTTCTGGCATGGGGAGTCTGTGACACCCGCCATTTTTTGGAGCGTCAGGTTAGCATCTTTAAAGGCGTTTCTATATTTAGAATTATATTTTATTAGGATCTAATCATGTTGATTAGAAGTCATCTGGCTTAGTTCCCAAACTATAGTTCAGAAAACCTTGTTTCGACAGGTAACTGATAAAGTTAACTTATGTAATGCCAAATATATTAAAAAATGCTCCAAATATAATAAAGTTGATATTATAAGTCCAAATTAAAATATTAAAGTCTCATTTGAATGTCCAAATAATTTTTCCAAAAAAATGTGGAACTTGGATCTAATAATACCTTTATAAATTTTTGACAAATTATATTTTGTCATAAATTTAAAATGGGCTTTATTTTGTTTAAAGGAAAAATAAAATTTTTCTTTATGGACTTGGGCCTTAAGAGTCCGACCCTTTTATCCACATTTAAAACCCACATATAAATACCCCATATTATTTGAAAAACTCTCATTTTTCATCTTTATTTTGCAAAAGAAACCTTTCCTCTCCCTAATCTTCTTTTCTCTCTCTAAATCAAACCCCCCAGCCGTGTTCATCTTCAAGCATCTTTAGAAATCTGTCAATCTTGAAAAATATCCAAGATTTCAAGAAAAATGTATTATAGTAGTTATCTTACCTTTATATTATAACAAAGATTCTCATTCTTCTACACCTACTTTTCGTTCTTGTAGTTATAATTTCTGGAGAATTCAAAAGGGGAGATTATTCATCAGAGACATGAAAATGTCTTCAAAAGGATAATAATCTATGATCCACGATCTTCGAACTCTAAGAAAGTAGGAGAAAACCACATTGCATGTGGAATTTAATCAAGAAAAATGTATTTTGAAAACTGACAGATTCTGTTAGCATTTGTATCGACTGTATCTTTCAAGATAAAAGTCCAAACGTTCTGATTTTTCTTCTAAAACACACTTGGATGAGTTATCGTTCTAATTCAACTGGTCTCACTAAAAAATATTAAGTTTTGAGCCTTCAAGTTCTTGATACAAGATTATGGTGCAAAAAGAGCATTGCTGACAGAATCTTGCATGCATCTTAAATCGGTCACATCTTCTTCAAAACTCATTGAAAATGGGTGATTCTTTTTCTGAAAGTTAACCTTATGTGTTAGCTTTAAAATAAAGTTAAAATCACTGAAAAATGATGAGTTTAGACCCCCCAAATGACCGTCACTCAAAGAGTGTGCAATCTGTCTTGGGGACTGTGTCACTCAAAGTGTAGGGTATTAATGAGTGCCTTAAACCCATCCAAAATTCTTGATATTTGGGAAAAATCTATTTAACTCATTATTATGGATGATATAAAAATTTGGACACAAAATGACTTGTAGATGGTTCCTTTTTGGCAATGATTTGTGAGAACAAAATGTCAGATTTAGAAATTATATTCTGTCCAAATGGCAGCTTTATGCGCAAAGGAATTGATTATAAATATATACATTTTTGGACTATTTTCAGAGCAATAAAATAAGTTTCAACTTTAATTCATAAAACTCATTGGCATACATAAGATATGATTTGACTTTATCTTTGTCAAGAACCCATAGATGATCTAATTTCCGGTCATTGGACTGTTTAGGAAGGTTAGGGCAGGACGTGTAGAGCTTCAGACGTCATCTCTTTGGATATTCATCGACAAACTTGTGAGTTTTCACGGCCCCACTTTTAATGCTTTTTGTTTATTTAAACTGGGGGAAAAGCATGGAGTTATGCAAACTATATTGTTTATTTATAAAACCATCGGACTAAAGAACTGTTTAGTCGATGCTTTGGTTAAAACCATTGGACTAAAGAACTGTTTAGTCAAAACCGTTGGACTAAAGAACTGTATAGTCAAGTTTTGTTTATGTCATGAAATATTGACTGTTTTGCACTATGATATAAATGCTAGATTGATGTGCTTGGGAGTATGTTTCCAAATAAAGTCTCCGTCCGTAAACGCTACTTGTTAACTCGGGCATGTCCCCGGGCCGTGGTAATTGTGGATAACCGCTATTGTGTTGACAGTCCCACCCAGAAAGGGGTGCACATTACATATGTTTTATTGGTCTAATCATGTGGAAATTGGACCACCGCTGAATTAGTACTATTATGAACTGTGGGACCTAAATGAGTGTACGGGCTACTTATGGTCGTTCGTAAAATAATGGGGCACATTGGTCAGGAAAGGCTCAGTAGCGTCTCAAGTTTCTAAACATCGTTATGGATTTACATTTATTATGTGCAAAAAGTGTGTATAGTTTTGCAAGTAATGATTTATGCATTAAAATGTTTTGTGCATGTGAAAACCCGTGAACTCACCAACTCTTTGTAGTTGACTTGTTTTATGTTTCATGCTTTTCAGGAAGTAAGTAAGAAATGAAGTTTTTGGGGCATGTTTGTGGCGATACCGATTAAGCTCACCGATGAAGTTTTTGTAAAGAAGTATTTTATTCCATCTTAGTTATGGATGTTAAATTTGAACTTTTGTAAAACTTGAATGCTGTTATTTATTATCTGTTACACCTCGTATTTCCGCTTTAACGAGGTGTTAGAGATATGGAGGTAGATTGACTATTTTGGCTAATTTCCCAATTCCTTTTAAAGTGTGAATTAATAATTGCATTAGAATATTTAACCCTCCAATATTTTTGTAAAGTATAGAACCGGTCCTTGTACTGTTGATGAATTGTCATTAATTATTTAATCAGTAATTAATCTTTTGTGTTAATTACTTTAAATGCTTAGAATACAAAGGATTTTATGGATTTCACAAGTTTTTGGAGTTCTCATACGATAAATCCTCTATATTATTTATTGAATTTTAAAAACAAAATAAGAAACAGAAAAAAAAATGGAAAATAAGCAAAATATCGTTCATATAATTAATAGAAGTTAATAATCGTTAGTAAGAGCGACCGAAAGCGAAGAAAATTTCAAGCTATAACGGACAATTTTACTCATTAGAATGGTGAAATTGTGTCGACCAAAATATGGTTTTTGTGTTTTTTAAGTAGAATATGGATAGAGCTATGAAATTATTAATAGATAAAACCTATATTTCACTTTTTTTAAATATAAATACTTGTGTACCCTCGTCATTTTTATAAAATTTGAACCCTTAACCTACTGAAAGACCGAGTTTAATCAATAAGAACTTGAGCACTTGAAAACTTACACATACATATATCATTCAAATTCGGATCATGCACATACAAGTTACGACTACCAAAATAGTTCGCTTTGATACCATATCAGACCTTCAAAGTTCGACCAAAAATCGACATACGTCTAAAACTAGAAGCCACAACTTCCAGTGTCGTTCCCACAGCTCAATGGTTTTAAGGTCAAAAAGATGAATTCGTAACTTTAACCTTAAACCCTGAACCCGAAACAGTATCAAAAGGTTGCACTGCACCATAACTTCTTCATATCGATGATTCACCTCTAAAAATAGTATTTTGATAAGGAACACGTAAAACACACGTGTTTTACGAGTATCTCCGGGATTTGTTCTTCCCCCTCGTTGTCGGGTAATACATGGAGGAAGATAGACCACGATGAAGCTCGGCCTTGTCCTTGGTGAAGGCTCGTTGGACCTCTTCTTTAAGCTCGACAAATCGAGTCCTCTTTATCTCTTGCTCATCTGCGGTGCCCTTCTCGAGGAAAAACAGATCTGGTAGGTCGTCATCCATGAACTTATCAAGAACTTCCGAACAATGAGGGAAATAACGCCTACCCGTCTCCACTGCATCCAAAATATACGCTTCTTATAATCGATTCAGTTCATACTCGTGATTTCTAATTTTCAACAACAAAAAACAAACCTCTAAAGGCTACATTTTCAAGAATAATTTAGTGCAAAAAGGGGATTAATTTCGTATTAGTTGTGTGTTTTAATTAATTATGTGACTGTTGTATATTATTAAAAAATTATACCATTTTAAGATTAATTAAAAATTAAATTTATAAAAAAATAAAAGTTGATATATTTCTAATCTATTAAAGTATTATCCAACAATGAAATAAAGTACAAGTACATAAATCTAAACTTAGAAGGACCATTTTGTAAATATCAAAACCTTAACAAACAAACAAACAAAAACTGTAGGCGAATAGTGCTGATTTTCCATTAAGTTTTATATGAATAAAGATATCTGTGTGGATTAATTTGTCTCTTTGGATTTGGAAAGGCTTTTGTTTGGAAGGGTATCTTTATAAATGGATGGTGCGTGTTTTTTTAATTGGGAGAGGCTGGTTTGAAGAAAAAAACTTGGCTTTACATAAAGCTTCCATTGTAAGCTTACAAAATAAACAACTTTCTATATCATTAAGCCACTACCAAACATTCATATATAGGTGACCAAATAAGTTGTGAGTCTCGTTAAGATGCTATAGTGTTCTACTATTTATAACACTATAATGGTGCAAAAAAGGGTGCGTCTGTTGGAGACGAATTGGCACGAGATAAATGTTTCGTGCGAGATTTGGTGCATTTATTAAAGATGGTCTACGGTATATATAGATCTTATCCCCAGACTCTACCTCGATCAATCAAGATCAACAAATTATATGATCCATCCATCAGATATGCAAAATTAGAACAAAAAAAAGAAGGCGAAAAACAGAATGGAATTCGATAAAAACACACCTGTCTTCGAAAGCGCTTCCATTCTCAAAAGCAACCGTTTGTTCTGTACCAACGGTGTTTCGTTCAAATCCATCTCCCTCAAATTACCATTCGACCCTTTCGATGCCAAGAGACCTGGAAACTCCGAAGTCGTTTGGGCATGTGCGATTTCCATCGCTAGTTTCGCTTCCGAAGGGAACAATAGTCGTGCAAACGCCACTGCAAGATAACATTATAAAATCGAACCCGTAAGCCAACATTCTTTTGAAGTGAAAAGAAGTTCTTCGAAGCTAAACCAAACTACATTTTGCCCTTGTAAAGAAATAGTGACTAAAACTTCGAATCATCATACTTGATGCCCGATTCTAAACAACTAGCATCGATGCATATACGATATTTGGTAGAAAATAACGATAAATTGCAGGTATTATGCGTAAACGATCAATGGTGAAATCAATTTCCGGATAAGAAATTTACCTCGGTTTTCCAAGTAGAGTAACTTCATATGCAAATCATCAGCCACGGCCGAAGAACACGCGGAAACGTTTCCAATCATCGGATTCCTCTTAATTTCCCGCTCCAAAACATCGATGCAAATACGATCTTTGTTCGTTTCTTGGCCGTGCTCCATTTTCGCATGATAATCCTTCGGCCTCGTTAACCTCCTGCAAATACTAACCGCACTCTGCCCATCGACAGTTATATCCGATGCCGCCGCTCCTTTGCTCAAAAGCGATACGATAATAGACGGTTCCTTCCGCATTGCAGCAACATGAAGTACTGTGTACCCTCGAGAGTTTCGAAGGTTAACGTTGGCTTGATTTAGATCGAGAACCATCTTAGCGACTTCCTTATCACAATACGAGACCGCATAATGCAAAGCACAAGCTTCATCCAACGTAATTTGCGACTCGCTTAAAATCAATTTAACGAGTTCGACATCGTCACAATCCAACGCTTTGTGTATGCTTTTGATTCTCTTTTCACGTAACGCGCCCTCGGATTCAACCGTGTGCTCATCGTCATCTAGGGAGTTGCTACGAAGTGATTTAACGTTTTGTGCAACTTCAAACGGAAGCTCTTTCTCGAGGGAAACGTTGTCAAGATTTGATCGTGAAACTCGATCGATACACCGAGTTAAAACATGTTCTAACTGGCAATGAAAGGCCACGGTAAGGATCGGGATAACGTCTTCCACAAGAGCCTTGTCCACAAAGTTGAGAAGATGGCGCTGCAAATTCAAAAATATAAGAATCAGCACATCATAGACTATGACTTTAGGCTATAAAGTTTGACTTAAGGGTTAAGGCTATGTTTGGCAACCATAAACTGGTTTATTTTTTGAGTTCATTGAAAACATTCCGTTTGATAAATCGAAAATGACCTGTTTGGTAAGTCGTAAGCTACGTTACTGAAAAACTACTTCAGATGGTGTTTCAATAAGCACGAGAGACTTTCTTTTTTCACTTTTTTCCAAACATGCCCCTAATGTTAGAATTGAATAATTTTTTAACATGTCCTTTTAGGTCATTATTTACATCTTTATCTAGTTTATCGACTAGTTTTTACCAATCTTGTACTACTTTCTCAATTAACTTATGAGCCAATAGTTAGCTTGTTAGTTGACAACTTGTTTTTTACAGCTAGCTAATCATCAAACAGCAAGCTTATCAACCAGCCCACAGCTAGCTTAATGGGATTCACAGCTTATTCGGTCAACTATACATGACTGTTTGGTAGTGGCTTAATGATATAGAAAGTTGCTTATTCAGTAAGCTTCTAGGAGGGAGTTTATGTAGAAAGCCAAGTTTTTTTCCAAACCACCCCTCCCAATTAAAAAACATGCCCCTTCCATCTATAAAAAAAACCCTGCCGGACAAAAATCTTCTCAATTTATACACACATATTAATCTACACAGACAGCTTTATCCATATGAGACTTAATGAAAAACCAACCAAACAGCACTTAGCTAGTTTGCCAAAGACAGCCTTAACGAGTAGTCTTTTTGTAGTCAAACCAACCTCACTGTCGAATTTAGCCAAAAATCAATATTAGTTGTTCTATGTTTCTTTTGAAGTATATAATATTTATATACGGCAAATAGAACAAATAAACTCACACACCCTCCTCACTTTTGGTGAGGTTTGAACCCCTGACCTCTTAGAAGGCCAAAGACTCACATACCGCTAGGCCAAAGGCCCTTTGGTTAGTTGTTCTATGTTGAACTCTAATTAGATTAGTTTTAGTGAAAGAAGATGATTATCGCAAATGTTCATGGAGTTAAATCATACTCACGATTCAAGCATTTAACATAAAGCATACGAGGAACAAATCAAAATACCTGAAAGAGTGAAACCAACTCAGGAACTTGAAAAACCGAAGAAGCATAAGTCAATTCAACGGCAAAGCTAATAGCGGGCCGACAAGCATCATGGCGGCAACCATCATCGACACAAGTTGAAACCTCCGGAGGAGAAGACTTAAGTTTTCCGGTATAAACGTAGCTTAAAAATACAAGAAAAGCATCGTGTCCAACATTCCCGTATGGCAACAAATTACTCATGATGTATTTAGACTTACCATCCTTAAATAGATCACTAAAAAACTTGCTTCTAGTTGCTAAAATACACCTATGAATGCCCACGGAAATCCCCTCCACAACAACTTCGGCATCGCTGTAATTGCAATTGGATTCGGAATCAGAATCAGCCAAGAGCTTCTCCAAGTTTGTGCTGAGCTTATTTAAGCTAAGGATTTCAAGATTTGCACGTGGCTCAGGGATTGAAGATGAAGGGATGTTGTAGTTGGTTGAGCCATTGGATATAAGAGAAGATGAGGTGAAGCTTATGGATGACGATGGTTCAGATGAGTTTGCCATGGATTAAATCCACTTCCCAACAAGAAACAAGATTTACAAAATGGGAAATGGCAAATTTATATGAACAAGATCAGGGGTTTGACCATTTCATCAAAAAAATGTCAAATTCAGAAACTTTTTTCATAGTCAAAGAAACAAGAACTCAAAGCACAATGAAACAACTGTATGTTGAAAAAAGAATTGCTACGATTGAGTTGCAAATCAGATGAAATGGATCAAGTCAAACCTCATACACGAGTCAAAGTCAACTGTAGGAGCTCGGAGATCCTAAGCACAATAATGGACCATCTATGGCGGAAGATACAGTAAAGGTTACAGATGATGTTGATCCAAAAGAGCTTTTCATGATTCAGCTGTAAAGCACATATAATGAGTATGGCTTTTTCCTAAAAAGAAGAGTGAATTCTAGAAACTCTGAATCAAAAGAACAAGAACTCCAAAAGCACAATAATAAAATTGGACATCTATACCCTTTAGGATTAGAAATGATTTGGGGCAGAAACTACATACCAGATAATGAACTGAAACCCTGAAATGGAGGGATCTGAATTGATTATACTGCCCTTGTTCTAGAACTAAGATCAAGAAATTTCCTTATTTTTTTGCTACAAATTCATGGATGAACAAAACCCTAACATCCCCAAATCAATTCAGCTTTTCCTGATTCCAAGATTGCACCCACAACAAGAATCTTGATCAAAACCTAAAACAACCCCAACTTATTGGAATCAGATATTCCCAGACTAACAACTCTATCAAAAATCAAAAACCTTAGAAACCCCAGATGAATTGCAGTCGTTCCAGATTTTGATTGCTCCACAAAACATAAAATCTATCCTCAAAACCCTAATCCCCAGATCTATTGTTCTTTCGTATTTTCAACAAATACCCAGCACAAACAATCAGTCAATAAGCAAAACCCATGTAAAAAAAGCAAAAATCAACTTCAAGAAACGGTAAAAACGATATCAAAATCAACAAAATGATGTTGGAATCAAGGAACTTCTATGAAGTAGCAGAGTAGCTAATGGTTGTGAGAAAGTTTGGGAAGCTTCGTAGGTAACAAAAAGAGAAAGGGTCTTTTTGTAAATTGCCAAATTGTTTGTCGGCTTGTGAAGACGAGTAAAGATGAGGATGAATCAGTTGACATGACGAAGATGATAGCGTCAGGGAGGATTGCCGTGTTTTGCATACGTAGCATGTGACGTCACTTTTATTTTGTAACACATTGCTCAAGGCCAGCCAAGCCTTTGTCTATCTTTTTTGAGTGTGATTAATAATTGCATTAAAATATTTAGCACTCCAATCTTTTTGTAAAGTACAAAAATAGTCCTTCTAGTTGTATTATTAATAAGATTAATAGTTTATATTAATAAAAAATAGAAAAAATAATGATGAAATTAGGGTCAAAATCTACTTAAAGGGGAGTACAATTAGCCTCCTTATAGATTATAATTTATTTTTATATTGATTTTTAAAGTATAAATTCATCACTATGGTTGGTGAAATTAACGATGATTGATTCAAGCCTTTCAAACAAATTAATTACAAGGGTCGTCATTATTGTTTGTGTTTTCTTATGAATTACGTTTCGTTACTAACTTTGTTAAAAAAAAAATTCTTAGGTCGTACATTAAAGTATTTTGGTTATAGGGATGGTTATTTCATTGCAAGAAGTCTAACCATCTCTAACCTCTTTAAGGCATGAGAAACCTAAAAAGCAAAGGAGAGGCTCTCATATTCACTTCTACAAAATATATATAATAGGTAGTTCACTTACCCGCAGTTGAAGCCATAGATCCGGGTAGATATGCCCCTATGAACGACTATGCCGATCTTTAAATGTTCTGGCCACGTGCGTTTCTGTTAAGAAGAAGAAGGTTTGGATCATCAGAAGGAGGTGAAGGGCTTAACAGCACCTGGAGGGAATAAGAAAATAAGAAAATCGGGTCGCGTTTGGTCATTCAAAGATTGCAGAATTTCGGAATGGAGTTACTACTCCTGGATAAACCAGTTCTGCCGCCAGCCGCACAACAAAGTGATGGCTTAAAGGTAAAGAGTGGCCAAGATGAACTAGCATAAAAGACATGCTTGAATTTAGAAAGGCAAGACAACTCTGAATCACTCGTTGAAACTTCCGGACAAAGCAATTTCCACTAGCTAGGATAAAATTATCACATGCCTCTTTCATTATTACAACCTTCTTTTTTTATGTCAATGACCAGAAGCTACACAAAAAATTTCATTGGATCATCACCACCTGCACCTCACATCTCGGCACAGTGAAACGTGTAAGCTTTCGTCGTCTTTTTCCCACTTTCACCTTCGATTATGAAGGGATTTTTTTTCCGCTTTCACCTTTGCAAAAGAGGTTTTAAACAGAATTTGGTAATCTTCACCCTGTAATTGCAAATAAGGGATTTTCTCACTAGACCTTCCGGTCTCACCCTCATTTTGTATTTTGAAAATGTGCATTGCAGGAACAGCTGGGTCTCTAGATATTAAGGGGAAGGGGAAAATATGATTATTTTCCTTATGTGTTCATCTGCCTTTTAAAGATCAACCTGTTGCCTGTTATATTTTGAAGATACATGCTGACATACATGTGATAGTATAGGGCTATTCTTTTAGAATGTGAAGTTGTAAATTTCGTATATAGAATCCTTGTACCAGTGGGACCTTGTGATGTAAATTACATTTCTTTTGTATGAAATACATGTTATATGCAAATGTGAAGTTTGGGTTGTTATAGAGGTGGTATTAGAGCCTAAGTTTAAGGGATTTAGGTATCCAAAGCATGATGCCTAGACTTAAACTGTTATTTGCATATTAAGGGGTCCCGAACATAGATAGTACCACTGAAAACAAATATAATGGGTTAAAGAGGATAGTATGTATAATAAATTCGAATTACAAATGACCAATGTAATTATGAATTTACAGGTACATATCTGCACTCGGGTACCTTATTATCTTTGGGAATATGAATACGTGATATTTAACATTAAAATATTTGTAGATGACAAGTCGATCAAGAAGATCCGAAAGGATCACTCGCCCCAATCCAGAAGAAAGAGATGAATCTCCTAATAATGCTCCAACTAATATTTTTGAAAGTCGAGGCAGGGGAAGAACCAGGGGCAGAGGCCAAGGGAGAAGTCAGGCCCAAGGTAGAATGAGTTAGACAAAAATTCACCCGGATCAAGGAGAGTCTATTTTGGGGAATGTTAATCAAGAGCAAGCACCTTAACCAGAATACGTAACATGGGATGTTATGGCTGAAGAAATGGGTAAGTTAAGAGAAACTCTGGTATCTATCATGGGATTGCCAGCCAGAGTGGAAAATAAATCCTCCAGTTCAATCGACAAGCAATAGAAGGGGGACATAAAAATGTTTTTAACATGTAAACCCCCAACATTTTCGGGAGAAAGGGATCCGGTGAAGGCTATGTGCTGGATAAAAGAGATTGAATCAGTGTTTAATACCAGTAAATGCTCTGAGGAAGACAAAGTTATATTTGTTGTCTCCATGTTAAAATCTAACGCATTGTACTTGTGGGATGTGAAATCATCGGCTAAGCCCGATATTCTACAATCTATGTCTTGGGGAGAATTTGTAAACAAATTTAAAGAACAATTCTGTCCCAAGACAGCTGTGAGGCAGATGGAAGAGGACTTTTTAAAGCTGGAACAAGGCAACAAATCTATGCGGGAATATACTGAAAAGTTTATCGAATATTCCCGGTTTGCGGAACATTATATTTCTTCTGAGTCCAGGAAAATGAAAAAGTACATTTGGGGCTTGAAGCCCTCTATCAGGAAATTTGTAATAGCAATGAATCCTGCCATATTTTTCTTAATTGTGAATGTTGCCGAAATAACAGAGTGAAACAAGAATCAGCAAGGGGAAGAGAAAGGGTGGAGAAACAGAAGTGGGAAGGGTCTTCAGCTAGTTTTCGAAGACCTAAATTTATAAAAAAAAACAGATAACCGACTTATTTAACAACCAACAATTAGAGTCTGTCCTCGATGTCAGCAAGTACATTAAGGTAATTGTCAACCTGAGCAAAGGAAATGCTATTGGTGCAGCGAGTCAGGTAATTTATTGAAGGATTGCCCTACACCCAAAAAAATGCTTCCATTGCAATTCACCTAATCATATCCGACCGAATTGCCCGCAATTAAGAGCCCCACAACTGACCATGGGAGGAAATACCCCAAGTACTCGTGGAAGGCCTAATGTATTAAGGGGAGGACAGAAAGGGGGGCGGGGCTGAGCATTTCAGATGACAAAAAGTGAGGCCGAAACAATGCCAGATGTGCTAACAGTTACTTTACTTGTTAATTCTATATATGCTAAAGTGTTATTTGATTATGGTGCAAACTTTTCTTTTGTATCACCATCATTTGCTAATTGTGCATATATGAATTATGTGCCCCTTGACAATATATTAGTGGTTGATATCGCTAATAGTCAAGTATCTGTTACCTATGTGTTTAATAATTGTATAATTGAAATTGAGGGGTGTGGGCTACCGATCCGTCTGTTTCCTATACCGATGAGAGAATTCAATGTTGTGGTGGAAATGGATTGGTTGACAGAAAATCAGGCCAGTATTTTGTGTAACAAGAAGATCATCAGTATCAACTTGCCAGAGAGAGGGCCGATTGTTATTTATGGTGATTAGCAGGATCACCATACCAATTTATTATCAGTTCTGGAAGCTCGTAAATATATTCAGAAAAGATGTCAGCGTTTTCTTGCGTATGTGATTGATTCAAAGAAAGAGAAAGGTAAGCAAGAGTCAATTCCGGTTGTCTGTGAGTATCCAGAAGTCTTTCCGAAAGATTTGAATGGTCTATCGTCTGATAGATCTATTGATTTTAGAATTGATCTTGTACCTGAGGCAACACCAGTGGCTAGAGCACCGTATCAATTGGCACCGTTAGAACTAAAAGAAGTGGCTACTCAATTGAAAGATCTTCTTGACAAATGTTTCATCAGACCGAGTACTTCACCTTGGGGTGCTCCGGTTCTCTTTTTCAAAAAGAAAGACGAACCGATGCGAATGTGTATTGATTATCGGGAGTTAAACAAGCTGACAATCAAGAATAAGTATAATTTACCAAGAATCGATGATTTATTTGATCAACTAGTAGGAGCCAATTACTTTTCAAAAATCAATTTGCGGTCAGGATACCATCAATTAAAAGTCAGGGATGAAGATGTTGCCAAGACTGCTTTCCGGACCAGGTATGGACATCATGAGTTTTTGGTTATGCCTTTCGGTTTAACCAATGTTCCTACAGTTTTCATGGATCTGATGAACCGAGTATGTAGTGAATATCTTGATAAATTTGTTATTGTGTTTATCGACGATATTCTTATATACTCGAAATCTGAAAAAGAACATACTAAACACCTTCGTCTAATCCTTGAACTTTTGAAGAAAGAAAAGTTGTATGCAAAATTTTCCAAGTGTGAATTCTGGTCAAGAGAAGTCCAATTTATGGGGTCATGTCATATCTGAGGCAGCAATAAAAGTGGATCTTGCTAATATTGAAGCAGTAGAAAAATGGGATGCGTCAAGAACTTCTTCTAAAGTCCGTAGTTTTCTGGGATTAGTAGGCTACTATCAGAAGTTTATTCAGGATTTCTCCAAAATCGCAGTACCATTAACTAAGCTGACTCGGAAGAACATTAAGTTTCAGTGGGTAGAGGATTAGCAAAGAGCTTTCCAGTTATTGAAGGATCGTCTTTGCAGTGCTCCAATGTTGTCTTTGCCAGAGGGATCTAAAGTGGTCTACAGTGATGCTTCAAAGTTGGGTTTGGGTTGTGTACTAATGCAACGAGGAAAGGTGATTTCTTACGCATCCAGGCAGTTGAAGGATTATGACAAACAGTATCCGACGCACGATATGGAGCTTGCGGCCGTAGTTTTTGCTCTGAAGATTTGGAGGCATTATTTGCTGGGAATGAAATATCAGATCTTCACATATCACAAGAGTCTCCAACATCTGTTCAGTCAAAAAGAGTTCAACATGCGGCAACGGCGATGGATTGAACTGGTAAATGACTATGACTGCGAGATTCTCAACCATCTAAGGAAAACAAATGTGGTAGCAGACGCTTTGAGCAAAAAAGAGAAAAGTGGTACAATCAGGACCATAGCAATAAGAATGAACCTATTGCCAGATTTCCACAGTGAAGTTTCAAAGTGTCAAGAACAAGCTGTTAAAAATGATGATTCCAAGTTTGAACGAGTGGGTAAAATGATTTCCACCCTGGAAAAGAATGACAAAGGAATTTTGTGTTTTCAAGGACGGATCTAGATACCGTGCTATGGGAATATCCGAAGATTATTTTGGATGAAAGCCATAAATCCCGGTATTTAATTCATCCCGATACCAATAAAATGCATAAAGATTTAAAACCATTTTATTGGTGGCATGAATTGAAGAAAGACATAGCAAGGTATGTAGAGCGATGTCTAACGTGTTTGGCAGTAAAAGTTGAACATCAGAAACCATACGGGAATCTGCAGTCTTTGGAGATTCTTGTATGGAAATGGGATCATATTACGATGGATTTCATCATGAAATTACCTCGAAATCCAAAGGGATATGATGCCATATGGGTGATTGTGGACCGTTTATCAAAATCTGCGCACTTTCTACCAATGAAAGAGAACTATCCGTTAGAAAGATCAGAAAAAATTTATATAGAAGAGATTGTAACTAGGCACGGGGTTTCCACTATCTATCGTTTCAGACTGGGATAGTCGGTTTATGTCTAAATTTTGGGAGAGTTTTCAAAAAACTTTGGGTTCTCAGATTCGGCTAAGTACGGCATATCATACGCAGACTGACGGGCAAAGCGAAAGAACAATTCAGAGTCTCGAAGATATGTTAAGAGCTTGTGTTATAGACTTCGGGGGATCATGGGAAGATCATCTGCCGTTGATTGAATTTGCTTATAACAATAGTTATCACCAGCTTCCAAGCGGCACCGTATGAAGTTTTGTATGGCCGTAAGTGCAAAACGTCGTTATGTTGGAATGAGGTATATGAAAGGCAATTAGCAGGTCCAGAAATCGTTCAAGTTACTTCAGAGAAGATTAAACAGATTATAGATAAAATAAAAATAGCTCATGACCTTCAGAAGAGCTATGTCGATAGACGCCGTAAGCCAATTGAATTCTTTGTGGGGGGATTATGTAATGCTGAAAGTCTCTCCATGGGAAAGAGTAGTCAGATTCAGTAAGAGAGGTAAGCTCAGTCCAAGATATATTGGGCCATTCAGAATCTACAAACGAATCAGAACGGTTATATATCAGTTGGAGTTACCAGGGGAGCTTAGTTCGATCCACAACACTTTCCATGTATCTAATCTACGAAAGTGTTTAGCGGATCCAAGTTTGGCAGTACCGCTACCTGAAGTAAGTTTAGATAATAAGCTGAACTTTGTGGAGACACCAGAAGCTATCACTGATTGGAAAACAGAGTGCTACGAAACAAAGAGATCAGTCTAGTAAAAGTTCAGTGGCATTTCCACAAAGGTTCAGAAGCATCTTGGGAGTTAGAATCTGAAATGAGGGCTGAATACCCGTGGTTGTTTAATTAAATGAATTTCGGGATGAAATTCTTTTGAGGGGTGGATAGTGTGATAACTGAGTCTTGATTATGCACCTGAGGCAATTATTATGTGATTACCTGGTTATATGATAACATGAATATTTGATTAATGGTTATAATTGATCATGTGAATACATACTTACATGAGTTTAATATGTGAGAATGTGAAGTCCAAAAATCATACAAACATGATCAGATCTTCAAGAATTAGGATGAATAGAATAGTAGAAAGAATATCTTCAAAGATTGATTTGATTGAGAGAGAGAAAATTACAGCTCTAATCTTGATTACAATTCTGCTAATCACTTGGTAATGACAATTATAAGGAAAATACTATTTATACTAGGAAATAGTAAAGCTACTCTATTACAATATAAAACTACATTAAGGAGAAACTTGAATATAACTTTAACGCTCTTACTCAAACCCAACATTCTCCCCCTTGGATTCAAGTTTGGACTCTTGTGAATTTCGTCTTTTGCAGTCCAAGAATTTTCTCCAATTTTCTTAGAGCATTCCTATATTGGATTTTCTCCTCGAGCAAATTTATCACGTTGACCAGCAAATATCTTTCCTTGGAACTCATCCGTTCTGATTCAGCAGCTTTATCGTTCATCACCCTTTTCAATTCAAGTGTCCTTCTCACTAATTTTATCGTGCCATCAAAATATTTATTCAGCTCGCCAAATCTCATGAATTTCTTAACTTGGAGTTGAGCAAAGTAGATGACCCCGAACTCTGGACTTTCAAGAACCATATAGACTGGATAGCCTTCAATATCTTCTAGTTCTTGGTTTGGTCTTTTAAGATTGATGATCCGTTGATTGTCTTCAAGGCCCATTTGAACATTAATGACCATCGCCAGTTTTACATAACAGCGCATAAATCTCTTGATAGCCTCAAGAGCAATCAATTCTCCTTCCTTTCTGATTGTCATGTTTTTGAGTTCAAAGTACATATATTCAAGGTCATCCAAATATAAGTTTGAAAAGTCTGCTTCGCTAAACTTCCAAATCTGACCATCCTGCCTAGTGACTGTAAAAACAGGAGACCAGATTCTTAACAACTTCTGAGCATCAATTTGTTTAATCGTTACAATCCGATGCTTTGTACGCACTTCACTTATTGTAGGCACTTGGCTTTCAAAAGATGTCGGTATTCAATACGGTATTCTTTTGTCTGCTTATGAATACCCAGAACTTTGTCACCGCTCAGAACTTTTCTATGACGGATGAAGATTCCAAAGTAGACAT